TAACAATAACCGTACCCCATTCCTCAGCAAAACTGGCCAAACACGTCAAGCAAGCAAGATACACAAAACATATCGACAAAGATACACGAAATTGAAACGGAAAAACCAGCGGGATCTGAAGAAAACACCAAGACTCCGATCACAGAAAACAGATTAAGAAAATGAAGTGTACAGTACAGTACCAAGCTCCACTTGAAGCGATTACGCGATTGAACTGGAACTTGGAGGCGCGAGTATGGAGTTTGTTGGAGAGATCTGAGCTCAGAGGCGGAAGAGAGAAGAATGAACGGAAATTGAAGCAGTGGATGAGGAGAAGTTAAAGCTTGAAGGCGAAAATGGAGAAATTTTTTTGGGCTTCGGGAATCTACTTCTTTCTCCCCGCGCTCTCACTGTCGGCTTGCTCCGAGCCGCTGATATTTTTGAAAAAATTAGCATTAGCTCGATTTTGAGCCGTTAATAAGAATTTGAACTCGTATTGGACCAATTTTCTTATTTCTTTAAGTCGCTCTATTTCTGACGTGTACCAGGAATGCAGATTTTAAAATCATTTTTTGAATTTCAAATCACAAAATTTAAAATTATTCACGTCAAACAAATCGTTAATTATTTGATTTTGAGATAGAAGTTGATAAGTATGGTTATTTTAGAAAAAGTTTGAGGTTAACTTGGTCATTTTCCCCTATATTTGTGAGGGTATATTCTTAAAAATCTACTAATAAAGATATGGTTTTAAAAATTTATATTAGGTTTTAATATATATCTACCATTCATATTCAATTAGATCGTTGTTTTAAAATATATCTATAAGATCGTTACTTAATTTTTTTTTTCAAGGATCGTCACTTAACTTATTGTTTCACTCAACAAAACTCTCATTAGTATTAATTTTTAATTTTTGCTATATAATTTGGAGTAAATTACAAAAACCACCCATTAAATAAAATGGTTGCTTAAATATCGAAAAATGCATGAACTAGGCTTAAATCATAAGTTTCGAATTATAAAATTATTACAATTCAAAGGTAAAATAAATCTCCTACGATCCAGAGCCCAAACCACATGACTGAACCGCACCGAACTAAATTATCGATTCGGTTAAGCTATGCACTTCGGTTCGGTTCGGTTCTAAAATTTTTCTTTTTTAAAAATCAGTTTCGTTTCAATTCAGTCCTCAAACCGAACCGAAACGAACTGTGAACACCCCTAATTCACACCCTTTATCTAACTGACCCATAGAATTATAAAGAAAATGAAGCAACTTCACCACGCTCTCTGAATGATGACCCAATCGATGATGTCACAACTCCAAATGCTTCAAACTAGAAACTGAAACGGCTTGCACTGTTAGACTTCGACGCATGCAATAAAGTCCATCTCTTCGCTTACCCTGTGCCAATCACATTCCTCGATTGTTGGTCCTATATAGCACATGAGTTAGAATCAAATTGAACTAAACAACGAAGCTCGTCACTTAATTGTGAAACCGATATTAATTTGCATTGTAATTGAGGAACAAAGAGAACATTATCAAGTATGATAGCGTCGGTCAGTTTCACAGCACCTACTTTAGTAGCCACTGTAGTTTGACCATCTAGGAGACCCATAGGGCAAGATGAAACCACATGAACACCCAATAGATAAGAATCATTACCAGTAACATGATGAGAGATATCAACAATCCAATCAAACGCAGCTGTTAAGGCCGCCTACTGTTCAGCTGACACTACAAGTTGATGTACTACGAGGGTCATCGGTAGCAACAACATTTCCACGTGCTGTGGAGCGCCCACGGTTGTTCAAAGCTTTGTGGAATGTTGCTTTACCTTTCAGATTTTCTTTGTTATCGAAATAGGACCCATACCTCTCCAAGTACCAATCTGGAATGCCATGTAAAACAAAACACATGTACTACCCAATTTGTGACAATGAGAATAGGTCAAGATCGCCTTTTATGCTCGATCAACTTCCGCTCCGGGATTCACATCCCATCAAAGACACAATTGGACCGAGCACGGAAAGTCTATTGGTGATGTTCGTTGGTTAATTGAAGAAAAGTTCTTTAAAGGTAAACATTTTCCCCCTGTATTTCATATTTGAACCTTTGATTTTGTGAAAACCCCGTCACTTAAACCTTAAGGAGTCTACTCCTATTTTCTTATTCCAGTTACTAACTTGAGCGTTATAGTATATTAGGTGGGACACCGCACCGACGTCGAGTTTTCTGGTTGTAAGCTCATTTACTCCTTACGAACACTCTCATATGAGGGACACGTGGACCTCTAAAAAATTAAGTTTTATTCATGATTTTAGAATTTAGAATGTGAAATTTTGTTTAATTGCGTGCAGCATGAATGTAACCCTAGCCAATACCCACATTCACGAGTCATGGGCTTAATTTAATTTAATTACGAAATTAATTAATTCTGTTTATGTATGTGTTGTGATTATGATTGTGGGTTTGTAGTTTTGGAAGAGTGGGAGGGACGAGATGAGAAGATCAATGGAAAAACAAGACAGGGAATGATGAAGTGGGAAGACAGGGGAAATGAGTAGGGGGATAGAGAGAAAAATAAATAAAATGGAAAAAGAAAATGACACGTAATTAAAAATAATATATATCAAACTCATCAATGTCATATTAGCATTTTCTCTAATGTTAACTCGAACTCCAAGGGCCTTGAACCAAAGTGTAATTTTTTGAAATTTAGGTGCGATATATAAATCTATCTTCAAACTCAAAAATAAAAAAAATGATTGTTTGATAATCATTTTGTTTTTTGTTTTTTAGAAACATGATTGTTTGATAACCAATTAAATTTTCTATTTTTTGTTTTCAAAAACAATTTTGAAATTCTATGTAAATTTTAAAAACAAAAAACTAAAGGGTCCGTTCGATGACCATTTAGTTTTTGGTTTTTGGTTTTTCTTGTTTTTAGTTTTTGGTTTTCTGTTTTTAAAAAACAAAAACCATATATGTTTGATAACCATTTTTTGTTTTTTTTTGTTTTTCAAAACATGTTTGGTAACCATTTTTAGTTTTTTGTTTTTAAAAAGTTAGAAAATTGAAAATACATATTAGAGAAAGAAAATTTGATGTAGAGTAGAGATGACAATGACGTGGGTGCGAGTGAGGATGCTCTCCCCCATTATCGTGGTCGTGAAAATTTTCAGTCTCCGTCTCCTCTTCGTTCTTGGGTCCGAGAGATGTTCTCGAGAAAAATTATCAGTTTTATTATTGTTTTTAATTATTTTTAGAATTTAAGTATAAAAAAGTGTAATAAATATATATTAATTATTTAAAAAATAGACTCGGGGATGGGGTCGGGATACGCATTTCCTATTTTTTGGGACCCGACCCTGAGGAAATTTTTGTCACCCTCTAACGTAGAGACATGAAAATACAAGTTTAGATAAATGTAAATAAAAAATAAACTTTTGGAAGATAAATTTTAGAGATAAATAAAAAGATTTAGAAAAAATAGTGAAAGAAAAGTTAAAGACAAAAAGAGAAAAATTTTAGAGAAAAAAAGTAAAATTATAGTGGAAACAAATTTAGAGATAAAAACAAGATTCAAAATATAATTTTTAGATAAAATAAATAAATACAAAGATAAACAAAAGTTACAGTGAAATAAAATTGAAGGAGAAAATAAAATATAATTTTTAGAAGAAAAAATAGATTACGAATAGAAAGAAAAAGTTATAAAAGATGAAATTTTAGTGAGAAAAAAGTTAGGAAAAATATTAAATTTTTAGAGAGAGAAATGAACTGGTCGGTTAGAAAAAAACAAAAGTACAGAAAAATTTGGAGAGTGACAAATAATAATAAATATTCAAAATATGCAAATTTAAAGGCAGAAAAATAAAGTTTGTAAAGAAGAATTTAGAAATAAAAAAATTTTAGGGTGAGAAATAAATTTTTCAAAACTTGTTTTTGAAAACTACTCTTTTTTTTTATTTACATAGAATTTCAAAATGGTTTTTGTTTAAAATTGAATTGGTTATCAAACAACAATCATGTTTTTAAAAAACTAAAAACCAAAAACAAAAAACAAAAAAACGAAATGGTTAAACGGGCCTAAAGTAAGTTTCAAAAACAGATTTATGTTTTTCAACCTCGGTTTTTTTTCTTCTAATACTCAATTACTTTTTATTTTTCATATTTATCTCTAAAAAATTTATTTCTCGCTCTAAAATGTTTTCTTTTTAAATTTATCTCTACAAAATTTATTTTTCTCTCTCTAAAATTTTCGTATTTTGAATATTTATTATTATTTCTCTCTCTAAATTTTTAATATCTACATATTTTTATATTTTTCTAACATATTAATTTCATTTCTCTATTTAAAAATTTAATATTCTTCCAAACTTTTCTCTTTCTATCATTTAGGCTTTTGTAACTTTTCTTTATCCTCTTATGAACTTCTCTCTACAATATAATTTTTTATAACTTTTCTTTATCTTTATCATTTATTTTTTCTTCTGAAAATTATATTTTTTTTCGTTCGGTGGTTAACTTTTATTTATTTCTGTATTTATTTATTTTATCTAAAAATTATATTTTGAATATTATTTTTAACTATAATTTTTTCTCCACTATAAATTTTCTCATTCTTTCTAATTTCATTTTTTTCTTTAACAATATTTTCCTCTCAAACTTTACTTGTTTTTATCTATAAATTTTCTCTATTTTTTTTACTTTTATTTAACTAATTTTTTTCTAAATCTTTTTATTTATCTCTCTAAAATTTATCTTCCAAAAATTTATTTACTTGTATTTTTGTATTTTCATGTTTCTAAGGATAACAAAATTTCTGTAGAGTTGGACCCGGAAATGGATGTCCTGACCCTTGATTCTATTTTTCAAATAATTAATATATATTTATTATACTTTTTTATATTTTAAATTCTAAAAATAATTACAATAATTATAAAATCGATAATTTTTCTCAATAAGATCTCTTGGATGGAATAACTCGTGAAAACAGAGATTAAGAATTTTCACGGGCACCAAAACGCATAGAGCATTCTCACTAGTATCGAGTACCATTGTCATCTCTATACGATCCTCACTCTTGATGTACCCAAAGGGGGAAAAAACCATTCTCCCGATGAAAAGCCTCCCTAGATCCGCTATGACCTCTCTGAAAGTGTGTTCGTCGAAGGACCCAGCCAAGTGATTTATATCTGCCACTGCCACTGCCACCCAATTTGTTTCTTCTCCTTGCCAAACCCTCCAGCCCTAATCGCAAACAATTCCACCATTAGAGGGCTTGCCACTGTCCCCACCACTGCTACAATTTCAGAAAATTCATCCCTAAAACACACATCCAACCCCCGACCCATTCTGCATCCGATGGTAGGTTTTGCCGCGCCGCTGAGGGCATGGACACTGAGCTCCACCGAGCTTTAATGTCCGCCTGGGTCTCTTACCATTACCACTGAGGTTTAATCTGATTCTTCTTTCCACTTTGATTTACTGTGTTTCCGATGCCCCTTTTGCCTTCCTAATTCCTAAGCTGATTTGTGAATTGGATGTGGATTTTGGAACTTACAGCTCGTGTATAGAACCAATTAAATAACTATTCTTTTGCCTTTTTGTCCTTCACCTGTCTGTCAATTGCGCGATGTTCCTGCTTTTCACCCTAATTTAAAATTTTAGTTTCATCCTCATTCACCCGCAAGCTTGTCACCCTCTACGTGGCTCCGATTCCTACTAGAAAACTAGGTGGGAAAATCCCTACTCTCCACGAAAAAAAGTGAATTTATCACACGGGAGGTGACTCCATGTATTTTCTATGCTTCAATTTTGTAGGGTTTTTCTTTTTGATCATTTTGGGTGAAAGTTCAGCTAAACAGATAAAACTGGATTGTAGTTGTAGTATTATGGGTGCTGTTCTTGGAAATGCTCTCTGCAAATATATTCCATGGTGGTTTAGAGGATAGTTATGAGTGGCATTTGCTTGCCTTGTATATTGTTGTCTTCCCTTCAGCCTATTTCAGCCTATTCCAGCCTATTTCTTTTCAATTATCACTAGGAAAAAAAAAAGGAAAATTAAACAGTATTCATTTGATCGTGCATTTCCCTTCTGGGTTCACAGCGAGCTGTATTTATTTCAAAATCACTTTGTGTTGTTTAGTGGCTCTTTATGCAAGTTAAGTTGGTGTTTTTTGTTCATTGCTGTACTTATCAACGTCATGATTATAATGATCACATTTTAGGTTACTGTCTCTGCTGAGATGGCGTCTTCACAAAATGTTGAGTTGGAGGCAGCCAAGTTCCTGCACAAACTCATTCAAGAATCTAGAGATGAGCCGGCAAAACTGGCTACAAAACTTTTCGTGGTGTGTAATGCATTTTTTTCCTTTCCTTTTGTCTGTTCAATTCATGTCATGATGAACTTTCGTATTTATGATTTTGTGGTTGTGTGAGTTTCAGATACTGCAACACATGAAATCAAGTGGGAAAGAGCATTCCATGCCATATCAAGTAATATCGAGGTAAAGAATGAAGGTTCCATACTTTTGTGGCCATTATTTTTCTTACCATCGTTGCATTCCAAGGGATTGTATGTATTTTCTCACTATCTAGAAATCTTCACAGGACATAATTTGAGGAAAAAAAATGGCTATATGAAATATGAATTCATATGCGTGATGGTAAGTTATAGCTCACTATGTGATCTATCTCCACAAGACATCTATAATGAAACGGATATTTAGGGAAGGGTCTCTCTTACGAAAGAGGGGATACCGATTTTTAGTTCTTTCATTCTTAGGTGCTCTATGGTTGAGAGTTTTCTTTGTTCTCTGACTACTATTATAACCTTGTAACTTTTTAATTATGCAATGAAAAGCTTTGTTTCTTCCAAAAAAAGTAATAAAGAGAGAAAGAAAAGATTTGGTAGAATGGAATATACACTCATTAAGTAGTTAAATGACTATATGAATGATGGATAGCTTCCCTAGGCATTTAGTTGAGGAGTAATTGCAAGTCTCATTAGATTGGTAAGGGAGTCAATCCTGAACTTTCTTGACATAATTTTGCCAAAGAGATTGTTTCTCTAGGGAACCTCCATGACTATTTAACAAGGAGAAAAATGTTTCTCTAGGGAATCTCCATGACTATTTTTTGAAGAGAGTTTCTCGATGATGCCAGTAGTCAAACTAGTGGGTGAGATAAGAGTTAGAAGAGGAGGGCTCATCTCAAATCTAGTTGGTTGGTCTTGTTGTCTCTTGTTGGTAGCTGAAGTGTAGGTTAGGGATAGTTGCCCTTCGAGTAGGTAGAGGGTCAACTCGGCTAGCATGATAACCATAACATTCAACCACCAAGATCCAGTATAAAAGAGATGGTTCAAGGCTCGAGCATGGAAGGGTGGTGAAGGAAACCTATAACTAGAGTATGGGTATCCAAACTGAAGAAAGCATGAAAGCCATTCTTGGAAGATCGATAACATAAGACCATAAAACATTGAAGTATGAACGGATGCTTTTAGATTGTTGCGAAAGCTACTTTGAGAGTCACTTGGCGCTTTTTGTAATGTAGTTCATTATAAATCCTATATTGTCGAGTTCCATTTTCATAGTTTCCTTGGCCTATGAGAGTGAAGAAAACAAAATAAAGAAAAGGGAAAGAAGAACCCACAGAGGACGTTACAACTCGACAAAACGAAGAAGAATAGCGACATAAAAACCATAAGAACTACTTTGAGAAAGAGCCTTCTAATTGCAAGAAAACCAAAATCAACATCTTTAAGAGTCTTGATATCAGAAACATCTTCCCGAAGAAAGGCTTTGAGATCTTGAGAATGCTTGACCATAACTTTAGCAACATCTCTAGCTCACTCAACTTTTAACTTCAACTTTCTTTTAGAGTGATCTTCTAAACATGCAAACCTTCCCTTTACAAATTTTAACAAGCTCAGAATTAAGCGAGGACAAATAATCATCCAATTGAGATGGAGGTAAACTAGAGCTGAACTTGAGAGGTGAAATGATATCTTCCTTAGCAACTCGTAGAGGAAAATCCATGATGTCTTCCATAGAAACTTGTAGAGAAAAATTGTTATGCAAGGGGAAAAGCCTCTGGATCTAGCCTCTCCATAATCATTCAAGATTAGAAGGCTACCCTCCATTAGTTTTCTTGGGAGGGGGATCCCTCTTCCCCTTGCCCCTAGGTTGTTTGCTATCATTTTTCAATACATATCTTGTTTCTTATTATAAAAAAAAAGAGAACACAATTAATGATTATAAAGAAATTTCGTAAATAAGTTATTACCTTAGAGAATAACAAAGATAATGCATTACATCAAATTATTGATCTTCGTGTAATAGTTTTTGGACAAAGAACTCCCTCAAGAAATTAGGTAATAAGTAGTACTTGAAATATCTTTGTCATCTCTACTCTTTTCATCAAAATTTGGTTCCTCTACATTCAAATTTCCCATTTACCTTGCATCATATAGACTAGAATCTTGAATTTTGGGAGAATGCATGAATCTGAAAAATGCAGAAGGAATGAAATTGAAGAATCTTTAATGATGCTCAATGGGGGGATCTTTGGCTCTATCGAATTGGCATAAACGAAGTCAACAAATTTCCTTCTAAGTTCTAACTAACAACTTATAGTAAGCAAGCTACCTTCATTTAACAAATTTGTGGCTGTGTCATAACATGCTCGGGGTTGGGAATCTTTGCTCATCTTTTGCACTTATGCTGCATGCATTTTTGCATCTCCTTGTCTTGATCCTCCCACATTAGGGTTACTTGTTAATGGTTGATCAAGTTTGATAGATTCGCCCTCTGAAACAGATGTGTATAAGAGACAGCATTAGGATTACTCGTTAATGGTTGATCAAGTTTGATAGATTTGCCCTCTTGGTGTTCTGTTTAGTAATCCCCTGTGGCTAGAGCTACCTTTGATGTATTCTATCCACATTGCCACCATATTGAAAAAAAGAACCATGTATTGTTGTTTCTTGTATTATGGTTTACCTTTTCATTTGACACCTTTATCATACGCTTTGTCCGTGAAGAAACTCTACAATGATCCCACAAATTTGGTTGTAATCCTGTTTTTAAAATTCTGTTTAGTGTGTTATATGTGCTCTGTTAAGTTGTTGGTTTTAAATGGTTACTTGTTGATGCAAATTATACCTCTTTTCCAATTAAATGTTCACTGTATTCATCCTGCCATGGTCTCTTTAGCTTGTTTTTCGTGCTTGTTTCCTTTTTGCTAACTTAGCGTCTTTTATCAAGGGCAATGGAGACCGTCATTAATCAACATGGTCTTGATATTGAAGCTTTGAGGGCATCACGGCTTCCTCTGTCTGGTGGAACTCAGATAGCTGATTCTCCAACTGCACAATATGCGGGTACAGTGATCGTAATTTGGTGACGGCTATCAGTGAATCTTCTTTTGCAAGTGCACATGTTATTGTTGCATAATTCTTGTCTACAAATACATATGCTATTCTTGGTTCAGAATAAATCATTTTAGGATAATTGCAGGTTCTTCAAGTGCTGTCGGTGCTGCTAAAGATTCCAAAATGGGTATATCTGGAAGTGAGATGTCAAAAAGTGGTCCACTTGCTTCAAGTAAGCCACCTGTTGGCCCAAGTAGTACAGATCATGATTATTATCAAGGATCCGCAACTCATCGGAGTGGTCAATCTTTTGATCAAGAAAGTCCATCTAGTTTGGATTCAAGGTCTGCTAACTCACAGTCACAAGAGAAGCATGATTCAGTGAATTGGGACAAACAATTAAATGATAAGGATGGGAAGAAGGGCACAAAAAAAAGGAAAAAGGTGGATACGTCAGGTGTGGAACCACCTAGTGACAATGCTCATCAACTTGATACCCGCAATTCGTTGGTTAATCCTAGGAATGTGAAGTCGAACAGGGTTGAGCCACCAGCATATCTAGTTAAGGGAGGTATGTGCCTTTCATTTTCAATAAGATTAGTGTCTACTGGGTTCCATTGTTTTCTTATTTTCTTGAAAGTTGGTTGGGAAGCTAGCATTGTCTTTGCCCATCTAGTTCTATTTAGTTGTAATGGAGAATTGTCTTGTTCATCTAGGAAGAGGTACGGTGCATATGGTGTTGCCAACTAATATTTCCACTATCTCCAAGTCTCTTCTACAGCTTACTGGTTCTTTACATGGTGCAGGCAATACTGAACAGGCAAAGCACGGATTAACAAAAGCTGCTGAAAAGCCTATTGATCCTCAAATATATTCTGCAAACCGGGGTGATGGGACATCTACTTCCGGTGAAAAGGTTTTGGAGAGCGAATTGCCTATATCTAGCACATCATCAATTGATACTACTAAGATGATTCAGGTGCCTAATAGTGTCCTTAATAACTTCTCTTTAATTATTATTTTATTAATTTATTTTATAAAATAAGAAACAAGTTCTTCTCTTGGCTTGGTTGGTTCTGATAGGAGGAATCAACCCCAAGGATTTTATCTTCCTCCTTAGTGTTCAATCCTCAGTGGCGTGTTCTTTGTAAATCAAGAGCTCAATCATACTCTTTGAAATATTTTATTCAATCTTCTGGGGTGTTCATATCTTTTACCCCAAGTAAGATTTGTCTTGATGATTTGGAGTAAGATATTCTTTATCATTCCTTCCGTTATAAAGGGAAGGTTCTGTTCTCTGGTAGACGGGCTTGTCTGTTACTGTTTGGAGTATTTGGTTGAAAAAAATTGGTCTTCTTGGGTGTAGAGAAGCCTTAAAGGAGGTCTGGATGGTGGTCATTGCAGACTGCATTGCAGACTGCAGTAGCTCCTTTTAGGCCTTTTTCTTTTCCCCCAAATGCTTTTTCAGCATCCCTTTGTTTTTGATTCTCAATGATTGGGGCTTTTACTTGTAAATTCTTTTGTTGCTCACTGGCTGGTTTTTACTTGTGTTTTCTTGTGTAGCCTAGTCTCGTATGCTGCGCTTTCATATAGAATGAAATTGATTTTCTTATAAAAAATAAATTAGAACAATAGAAAACAGTTTTAGAAGATTAGTTTGACTGTATGCCCTTGTATATTCATATTTTTTTTTGGTATGAAACAAATATTTCATTGATGGTATGAAATATACAAAAGGCCATGTAGGCAATTACAAGAAAGCTCTCTAACTTGTCATAAGAACATTATGAGAATAATTGTTGAATGGGGGAAGAAACATTTACACCAACCCAGGGCTAGAACAATAACTCTATCAAAAATTTTTTCAAAAGAGAGGTATTTATCATTGAAAACCCGATGGTTCCTTTCTAGCCGTAAGGTCCATAGGAATGCCTGAACGATTTGAAGCCATATTCTTTCCTTTTATCTTCGGTTTCTTATAAAAAATAAACAAAGAATACTCCCAAACAACCTTTATGCATTGTTCAACTGAAACTAATTCTATTAAAAAAAACTGAAACTAAGTGCTCCTGCCCTCTTCATTGTTGCTAGCACCTTTCCACATGCCTTGTTGACGTTTGATTCTAATTGTTTAGATTGAAACAGGATTTGTATAGTGCACTATAAAGTACGACTACTACTTTGATTTTGGAATTAAATTTGTTTGGGAAATATTCCAGGACAGTCTAATGCATAATTATCTATTAACTTATGCACACGTTTTTTAACAGGGTGCATGGCGGAACAATGGACCAGAAATGAGTATGTTGCGGAACACAGTTTCTAGAGAAGCAGGAAAGCTTCCTGTTTCTCAGGTTTCTACCTCTTCCCAATCTCGTTTACCTTTCAAGGAACAACAATTGAAGCAACTAAGGGCTCAGTGCCTTGTATTTTTAGCATTCAGGTTGTTTATACTTCTAAATGTGTATATTGAGTTAAAATCTTATAATTATTTGTTCTAGTTGGTTGTTTTAAACTTTGTTTTCTATTCTTTCAGAAATGGTTTAATGCCAAAGAAACTGCATCTCGAAATTGCCCTTGGGAATAATTTTCCTAAAGAAGGTAGGTATTCCCTACTATTTTACCATAACATAATAGTCTTTGATGATGGTATCATTAATTAATTCAAATGTCAATGTAGAGGGGCTTCGCAAAGATGTTGATCCTAGAGGTATTGCTCAATCTTTTAGTGAGGCCAGAAGTACCACTGAAGTCATGATGGCATCAGGAAAATTGGACGCTGCAAGGGAAATAGGTACCATGATCCCAGGCACTGTATGTGCTGGAAGAATCTATGAGGCTGACTCCATGAAAGAAGTAGATAATAGGAGAGTGGAGGATAAGGGTCCTCCTAATTATTCTGTTCAAGCCGAAGTAAGGAAGCCAGATGCTGAACTGATGCGGGAAAAAACATTTTCACAGACATGCTTGAGCACTGGATCACATCCGCCTGACTTTTCAGGTGCAAGGGGGTGTTTAACTGGTAATAATCCTGTTGAGGATTTGGAGAATAACAATATTCTGATTGGACATACCAATCAAGCCACTGCTGCAGTGAGTATGAGTAAGCCACTAAACCCTGAAACAGTTAGCTGGGCAGGAATTGGCAGCACCAATGAGGTTTCTAGGGGAAGTCTACCAGCCTTTGCTAGTCAGCATGAGTTGGTAGTTGATAGAAAGAATAATGTAGCTGCTCAGTTGCACGTTGTTCGAAACAATAGTGGTTTGGGGAGTCAACATATTGATAGCCAGTCTTCTTTTTCAATAGGAGAGCGCTGGAAACCTATCTCTGGGACTTGTGATGAATACCATGCTGTAATGCCTTCCAGAGATGCTGGTGTGATCCCAAACCTTGCATCTCATGGTGAGATACTAGCAAAACTTTAATTCAGATGAGATGAATGATCCTTATTGAATGTCATGGATTTTTATTGCAGATGATATTAATGTGCCAGAATCTGAATCTAGGTGCATTACAGAACTGCACAAAGTGGCATCTGTTGATGAAGTGAAAAATGGCAGCCTAAATACTATGGAACAAGAAGATGATGGTAAGTCGGCACCATCTGATTTGCCAACGTCTCCAAAGTACACCATGTCAGAGAAATGGATTATGGATCGGCAGAAAAAGAAACTCCTAAATGAGCAAAATTGGTTACTGAAACAACAAAAAACTGAGAAACGCATTGCCACTTGTTTTGATAAGTTAAAGGTTTGTGTGCGATTCAGTTTTCCATTCTCTATTTCCTGCTTGTTTTTAGCTTCTCTTTTCTAGTACCAAGTAAATTATGTTATATGAAGATTTAGGAGTTGTCTGTAGTTGTTCTTTTCCGAACTTTTCATTGATACAGTGAAAAGTTACAAAATAAGTACCAAATTTAGAGCAGAAAACTCAGAAATCCCAAAGTAACCACCATGTACGAAGAATCTCAAATACTTCTCAACTCACCTTTCCAATTTCAACCATAGACCTTTCCCAAAAAAATCTCACAAAAAAGCCTCCAATTAGAGTTAATAACAAAAGGAAAAATAATTTGAAAGGGAACAACTAGAGGAGAAATGAAACTTAGCCACCTCGAAGGCCTCCTCCCAAACTCGTTAGTCTAAAGTTTTGCATAGTTTTTGGTTTGCTCTGTTAGCCTTATGTTGAGGAAAGTATTATGTGGGGTAAAAGGCTCCCAAAACTCTTGGTTTGTTTGTTTGAAACTAGAAAGCCAGTTTCGAAACCATTGGTACAACTGTAGAAATGCTTTCTCTCACTTTAAAATTGGTTACAAAATCTAAGAGTTTGGTGTTGGGAAACCCTTCAAATATAGAAAGGCACTTTTTAATGTTACTTTAAATCTTCAACTATTTTGGGGAAAATAGATTTTAGATTTTTTAGAGTTTCCTCCCTAATGCATATTCCAATTTCTCTTTGAACTTATTGTTTCTAGAAGTAAAATTTTCATTGTTTTGATACCAAATTGGCCATTAATTAATGCCTCTGGTTTGCTGAAACTTGTTGTTTGAAAACGATTTTCATTGATATTGAATTGATTTGGCACATTTAGTTCATTTCACGTCTCATCATTTTCCTTCCAAAACTTTGCAGGACACTGTCAGCTCATCGGAAGATATATCTGCAAAAACCAGAAGTGTAATTGAATTGAAAAAACTTCAACTCTTGCAGCTTCAGCGCCGCCTCCGGAAGTAATATCTCTCAAGAGTCGAGTCTTTTATCATGAGTTGTCCTAGTTTTCACCAAAAGTCTTAGTTCTATGTTTTTTTCCTTTTACTAATATTTTTGATGAATTTGGAAAATCTTGGCAGTGATTTTCTTAATGATTTCTTCAAACCAATTTCAACTGAGATGGACCGCTTGAAATCTTTCAAGAAGCATAAACATGGTAGGAGGATTAAACAACTTGAAAAATTTGAGCAGAAAATGAAGGAGGAGAGGCAAAAGAGAATACGGGAGAGGCAAAAGGAGTTCTTTGGTGAGATAGAAGTTCACAAGTATGTGGTGCCCTATATAATGCAGTTTTTGTTTACATTTTCTTAAAATTAAACTTCATACGGCTTAATTCCATCAATGAAAAGGAAAAGCTAATGGATTGAAGTTAAAGGCTCTACAAATTTTGCTTATGGTCAATTAATCCTTTATTACAGGGAAAGACTTGACGATGTATTTAAAGTTAAGAGAGAGAGATGGAAGGGTTTCAATAAGTATGTCAAGGAGTTCCACAAAAGGAAGGAAAGAATTCATCGCGAAAAGATTGATAGAATACAGCGTGAGAAGATCAATCTTTTAAAGATCAACGATGTAGAAGGGTATTTGCGGATGGTGCAGGTTTGTCTTTTCTTTGCCGATTATTACTCATCGAAGGGGAAATAATCATTCTTCTCACTATTTATTCTAATAAGTCTTTTAACACTGCGCTACTCGTGATTTAATTTTATCATTTATAAGTTGTTAAGAACTTGGGTGTTATATATAATTTAATATTAAGTTCACTGTAACTTTTCATATTTAATAAATGAAATAATATTTAACAATTATTAAGAAGTTCTCTTATATTTGTATTGTAAGTAGCCATTATACAAATTTTGCAATTAATTAGAAGGCAATCAATTTTATTAACAAATTAGAGGTATTAAAATACAAACGACTGTTCTCATGCTCATATTTGTGGTTTGTTTAAACTCTTTAAAGTTAAATCTGTAAGGAGTCATCTGGATTAAGGTCAACATGACGATGGGATTACTGGTGAAGAGGAAGCTCAAGAGAGACTAGGATGTTCAGGAATGAAGATATTTTGTATTTGGATTTGTGTGGAAATGAATTTCATTTGTCCTGTGAATAAATATATAGTTTTTGGTCTTGAGAATGGAGTTTTTAGAATCTGATTTGGATTTTTATTTATTCATTATTTTCAATGTTAAGTTGTTAATAAATCAATTAATTGTACAAAATAAAACTACTGAGTACAAAAATTTTCCATTAATTAATTTATACTATACAATTTTTTTTACTTATAAATTCATATTGAACTTATCAAGAAATAGAAAATACACATTAAACGTATAAATCAAGAAGAAGAATATCCAAAGAACTCACCTAAAGTTATAAATAAGAACAAAGCCAAGGTTATATGAAATTGTGTAGTTTGGGTTTTCTTGTGGCCTTTTTGGAAAGAGAGAAACCAAGGGGATTTTTTGGAGCAATGTATAGTATACTTCTTCATGGTGGTGTTCAAACCATAAAGAATTCTTTTGTAATTTTAACCTCCTCGTGATTTTGTATGATTGGAAGGCCCTTTTATGGTTTGGTTTGGGGGTTTCCTAACCCACTGCCCTTAAGGTTGTACTTCTTTTGATAATACTTGCTTTATTTCTTATAAAAAAAAGAAAAAGAGAAAACAGAATTCTGAAGATATTTTTTTTTCTGACGCAACTGTAGATCCAAGTACAAGCTTCCAAAAAGTTCCAATTTATACCAAGTAACAAATATTGCCTTTGCAAGAGAGGGAGAGAAAGAAAAGTAGTAAAGTGAAAAAAGCAATCCGGATAAGTGTAGAGCATTAGCCTTATAACGAGTTGTTTTGTCTTTTATCTAATGAAAATTAACGTAATAATATCTATCATTAAATAATTACCAATCAACATATAGAAATAAATCAGAAAATTTTAAAATTGAAATTCTGGGGATTGAATTAAAAAGATAGAGATTATTGTTAATCATCAAGTTTCAGGTCATTTAGTTATTAAGAGGTCAGTTTTGGATTAAATCAGGATTAAAAGGGGCTGAAGGAAAATTAAAATTTCTTCCTTGATGCACAATCAGTCTTGTGGGTTCTCTTCCTCACACTAAGATTTCACTACCTGTGCTAGGATGCAAAATCAGATCGTGTTAAGCAACTTCTCAAGGAGACTGAGAAATATCTTCAAAAGCTTGGATCCAAGCTACAGGAGGCAAAGTCCACGGCGAGTCACTTTGAGCATGATATGGATGATGGAGGAGCTGTGAGTGTCGTTGAAAAAAGTGAAACTGCAATTGAAAATGAAGATGAAAGCGATCAGGCAAAGGCAAGTTGTTCTCTGCTTACTTTCTTTTATCAGTTTTTGTTTTATTCACTGATTACATATGACTTTCTTTTTACAGCATTATTTGGAAAGTAACGAGAAGTACTACTTGATGGCTCATAGGTGACGACATTACATGTTTTCTTCTTGCCCCCCACCCCACCCCACCCCACCCCAGAAACCAATTTTGGCCAGCGCTTTGAAAATTTGCTCATATACTGCATCAGTTTATATTTTGTCTTTCTTGATAAAATCTCTTGGTGTTTTAAGGCTCTAAGTTGATAACTCTCGTTACAATGAGTTATTGTTTATTCGTTTCAAATTTCTTATATGAATAATCTTTTTCAGTGTTAAGGAAAGCATAGCTGAGCAACCATCTTGTCTTCAGGGAGGAAAGTTGAGGGAGTGAGTATCATGCTTATCCTACAATCCCCTCCTTTCTACTTTTATTTTAGATTTTTATAAAATTAGTGTGTGGTATGGAGAAAATCCTATTTTTTGCAATTCATACTTACCTTTATTCTTTGATTTTCTGAACTCATGATATTGGTATGAATAATAAAAGCCAGTGCTTCTGTGATTCTGAATTTCTTTGTAAATGTGGTAATAAAAATTTAGGTATCAGATGAATGGCCTTAGGTGGCTTGTTTCGCTGTACAACAACCATTTGAATGGAATTCTTGCTGACGAAATGGGGCTTGGAAAAACTGTTCAGGTACTGTACTTTTCTAAGCTGCCTTATAAGAGCCATGATTTAGCTTCTGTACATTCCATGTTACTAACATGGAAATCTTCAGGTAATTTCCCTAATCTGTTATTTGATGGAGACTAAGAATGATCGAGGTCCCTTTTTGGTGGTCGTGCCATCGTCAGTTTTACCTGGATGGGAGTCAGAGATCAACTTCTGGGCCCCAAGTATCCTTAAAATTGTGTATTCTGGGCCTCCAGAAGAGAGGCGCAAATTATTCAAGTAATGATTTACATATGTTCTTTCTTGAGTCCCTGTTGCAAGGTAATCCAGAAACTTAACCAGTCCTTATTGCAGGGAGAGAATTGTTCATCAAAAATTTAATGTACTTCTGACCACATACGAGTATCTGATGAACAAGCATGATAGGCCAAAACTAAGCAAAATTCATTGGCACTATATTATAATTGATGAAGGCCATCGCATAAAGAATGCTTCTTGCAAGTTGAATGCTGATCTGAAGCACTATCACAGTTCTCACAGATTACTCTTAACTGGAACACCACTACAGGTGACAGTCGTTATTAATGCTCTCCTCTTTTTCTATATGGCGTAGGAGCATATATTCCTCCAACTTGATTGCATGGACATTCTTTTGTTTATCGTTACCTCCATCTTTTTCTTGAGTTACATTCATTAGGTCATAAACAGTGCATCTGAGGTTTTTTGGAAAAAAAAGAAAAATCCTTAATAATAAGAACTGTAAAGCTATTCTTAACTGCTCTTCCCTTTGAGTAAATAAGTTTAGGCTACGGCTACCTTACATTGGCCTAAAGGACACAATGGCCCACAATCCAATCGATATACACAGGAAACAATTAAAGTTAACATTAATGGAGAGAAGGCCCTTTAATTGGATTGGAGGAATACACTTCTATATCACTATATTTGTTACAGTTTTCTTGCATGCAATTTTGCAAAGGTTTGTCGTTTTGATAATTTATTCCCATGTAGTTGCTGGCTTATTTTGAAATCCATTCTGTACAGAACAACCTTGAGGAACTGTGGGCCTTACTGAACTTTTTGTTGCCAAATATTTTTAACTCATCGGAAGATTTTTCTCAGTGGTTCAACAAACCATTTGAGAGCAATGGTGATAATTCGGCTGACCAAGTAATTCCAAACTTATGTGACTTCTCTATGAGATTTCAGATTCTTTGTCCTTTTCTCTTAATTTTTTAAAACTTGTATGATCTAGGCCTTGCTGTCTGAAGAGGAGAATCTTTTGATAATAAACCGACTTCATCAAGTTCTTC